ATCAACTGGCTGTTTGCTAACATTTTCTGAAATCAGGTATGAGAGAGAGAAAGCGGTTTTGTAGCAGTGTCGGAACACAACCAAATAAAATAAAGCAAGCAGATACCACCGGTGTGATTTCACTGGCATCAGTGGGATTACAGCAGGGCTGAGCCTGACTTTGCTGTCACCGTAAGCATCACACGACAGCCTCCAGCACTGGCTGCATACAAGAGACTGCACCCAACAGACTCGGTAAGTCCCTGCACACTTGGGAACAAGAACAAACCATCGGGATAACGCAGGGATGGGTCCCACTAAGCAGAAACCATTCTGCTCCGGGCTCTGCCCGGCATGCCTGGCACCAACAACCCAGACCGGGATATTCACATCCCATGGACTGGTACTGCTCTGGGGCGAGGCGGCTTCTGCACAGACCCATGCGCTCCACCTCCCCAACATCACTGCAGTGTCCACCAGGAACAGGAGTTTCTGGGCTGGTATCCAGAATCCATAGCAATAGGAAAACCTGGATGGGTACATGTCAGCTGGCGCCTGCCTCCTCCTACAGCCCAGGCACTGTTAGTAACTTCAGTGAGCATCAGACTTCATCAGGTTTCTGCCACAAAGCAAGTTTGTCTCCTCACTGCCTCTTTTTCCCAGGCTCCACCGTCCTGGTTAGCCCTTTCTCCTTCATTACGGGTTTTGTAAGGCAAGGATTACCTCTGCTCAACTCATCTGTACAGCTCCCAAGACAAACAAGGAGTCTAAGCCTCTAAGTCTCTCTAAGTCTTTCCTGGAGGGCACAGACATACCATAACAGAATGACTGCCTCCAAAAAATACCATACAAAAAATAATAATAATTAAAAAATAAAATAAATCAGTGCATGAGAACACAGCCAGGTAAGCAACACAACTTTGAGTCTCACCCACTTGAAACATGCATAAATTAAAGCAAGCAGAAGTGTCAAGCCAGTTGTGGCAGCACCAGGGACGGCAGAGCTGGAGCAGTTGCTGTGGCAGGGGGATGCCAACCCACCCACCCCCCCCACCCCCCC